CTGATTTATTCACTCATTATACAAACTTTTATTGAAAACTTCCTATATATCAGAAACTTCCTAGGTGACAAAAGTCCAGTAGTAAAGGAGTCTGATCTATATTTTGCTCTCATAAAGATTAAGCTCTCTTTTGAGGACAAGGTTGTAACAAATAAAGAAAAATATAAAATACTAATATAATGCATGCTATGGCCACAAAAGCAGAAGCAGGTGACACAGAATGATTAGGACGCTACTTTATATGTGAGAGAGAAATGACATGACTCACAGCTTCTATTTAATTGTAATAGCTATTATTTTTCTATCATCAAAGAAACAAATGGTCATATATTATTTGTTTTTCTAAGTTTTCAGAAAGATCATATTTTCTCTGGTCCCTGGAGAGGTAGTTTCATTGATTTAAGAGTTGATACTACATTTGAGCTTTCATAGATAATTTGAAAGTTGGTATTTTGAGTTTCATTGCTATATGTTTGGTAAAAAGAATTACTATGCCATAGTGTGCCATGTGGATTATTGTTTTGTATATAAGCAGGCATGCAAAAAATTCATAAAAATGTTTGAGACACTACGTTAATTTACACAATTACTTGTGCCAGATAATTTATTTCCTTACCAACCATTTTCATTTTTGTATTTGTGACAAGCAAAATTGCATTGCCACCTAATGTCTCCCAGAAAGTTAATGTCACAATTAAACCTCATCATTACCACCCAGTGCATGTCCTAAAGTATTAGTTTCTAAAGGTAACTTGATCATTCTTATGATAAAAATCTATCACTTTAAAGCATATATTGTATTTAATTGAATCTAAATTACAATTTACTCTAAAATTCACTGTTACCTCTAAAAATGATGCTGCCAATTAAACTACAACTCAATGCTTATTTTCACTTAGATTCATATCTCATACTTTTATACTGAAAAGCTTCTCTAGACTTAAAATATGGTTTTATATTTATCAATTGTATTACACATGCATATAAGGAAACCATAATCAAAATAAATTGGTTTAGTTGTTCCTAACATTTTTACATAATCAGCCTGCAACTTTTCTGAGAAAATTTTTAATTCAGTCATTAATATCAGCCTAAAAAATATTGATTATATAACATTTCTTGAAAATTTACACAAAAGAATTAAAATTCTTTAATAATGGGCCCGTAAGACAACTTTGCAGTTATGATTGTCTTACTTACTTTTAAGGACCATGTCAGAAATTTTGTTAAACACTGTATGATTCAGTGTCTTCACTGATGTATCTGCTCCAGTACTATCTCTGGACTTTCTGACTAGCCACTTGCACCTTTTCTGCAAGTTTTGACTAGGTGTTTTGGTGGTTTTCCATGCACAGGCAATGACAACTATGCCATAATTTGTACCTGGCTGACTACTGTTTGTAGACATTATTGATTTCCGCACAATCATTCATTCAAGAGGACGCTTGGTTGAAACTATTCTCATTTATAGTAAGGTCTTAAAATCAAAGTCTAAAATGTTATATTAATATATTATCTTTTTATAAAAATACATTCCTTTTAGGACCAAAACAACAATTTCGGCATAGTTTAATTTCCTTTTAGTTCCATAAATTAAAGTAATATTGACCTCCCTTGATACACATCTTTAAAGTATCACATTGCTAATTTGTCCTAATATACCTTGCATTCTCTGTAGTAAAATCTACTTGTGAAATCTACTTCTCTATCTTTTTTTCCAAGGTCTGCAAAATTTCTAGAAAACAAATTCCTTCTTAGCAACTGCTGTAAACAGTTACATTTCAATCTGGGATAAGCTTCCTTGACCAAAGGTTCTTTCTTTAACTTGTTTTTGTGAACCTTTGAAGGAGGAACAAATAAGAAAGCAAACTGAAAGCAACTGAATTGGATGAGACTGCTTCCTTATGCTTGAACCCTCAAAAAGATGTATGTGAAAATCTGTCAAAAGCAGCCAAAAAACATACACATAGTTCCTCTTTTGCTTATTGTTCCCTCCTGCTTAGTATCTAAATACATACTTTTGGAAGGAGCAACCCTTGTCTTTGTCCCTTTTTCTCTTCCAAGTTAAATGGTGGATTGAGTGCATCGATTCTCAGGTATATGTATTTGCCCCTTGATAGTCTGGATGCTTGAAAGCAGGGAGATGCTGAATCATAGATGTCCTTAGAAAATGTCACAGTGTAGACTGGCTGGCCAGTTGCTAAGGAAAACCTCCCAGAATCCAGTCATTTTTTTCTTCTTTATAGTTTACATTCATAAGCACACGTGTGCATGATAGGCATGTTATCATATAGAGAAAAGGATGCTAACCCCGCTCCAAAGCAATAATGTATTAACTAGAATTTTTTATTATAATCTACAATAAAATTTCGAGCAGCCATTTATTAAGAAATATCTAACTCAATTTGAACATATTCAACATAGCTCTTGATCATTCATGCAAATCTGCTCCTTGTACAGTATTATCCTCTTTTGTTAATTGCCAGTAGATCCTTATAACTTCAGTGAAAAGCCTAGGACTCGTCTCAGAACTCCCTGTTTCTGTAAACCTTCCCAACCATCCTATATTCAAAACATATCTAGAATTCTTACCATCCCCCACTATCACATCAGTCCAAACCAGCATCTATTCTTTCCTAGATTATTGAAGTAACCTACTGAAAAAAAGTCATCATTTCTATCCTTTTTCTGTTTATCGTATTCTCAACACAGAACCTAGAGAGATCCTAATAAAATTTCCTTGGCTTTAAATTCAGATTACTAATACAGATTAAGAATCAAAATCTTGAGGATAACCTACAGTAACCTAATGATCCTTTTGCCTACCTCTCATTCCTAATTACTATTTCCTACAATTTTATGTCTTCTTTTTACTTGGTTTTTCTCCATATAATTTGCTACCATCTAACATTTTTAAAAATATATTACACTACAATGAAGCTTCACAGGGCAAGAACTATGACTTGTTTTATTCACGCTTAGAGCCCTATTATAGAGAGCTGTGACTGGTATATGGTAGACTCCCAATATTCAATAAACAAATACATTTATTCTGTTAAGCTAATCATACTCCTTCCTTGGAGGTAGATACAAAACCATAAAATGCTAGGTGTAAACAGAATCAAAAGAAGAGCAATTATTTGCATGTCTCATGCTATGATAATCGGAGGCATTCATTTCCATGAAGATATAATATATATTACATTTAGAGTCCGCGTTAAGTATGTGATTCAAACTTCCACTTCCCTGAAAGTGCTTCCTTGATCTTATTTAAATATATTTTCATTTTAAAAAATTATACAAGCAATATGTTATTGCATTGGTCTTTGAAAATAATGTATAAATTACATTTGAAGCTTAACTTCCTTTTTTATCACCATCCTCCCCTCCCCTCATTCTTGTTGGAATATGGTATGTATTCTCTAGCAGAAACTAAAGAGACTTTATATAGCTGAATACATGAGCCAAAAATACATAAAATTTTTTCTGTAGGTTTTCATTTTTACATAAACAACAGTATAGTATACATATGATTTTGCAGTTTGTTTTTCTTTTGTTCAAACATGTTTTGAATCTGTTTATTCTAACTCATATAGGCCTAGTTGATTCCTTATAGTTCCTATAAACCTGTACATCAAATGAACAAACTAGATATAACTATTTTTCTAGTTTTGAAATTGTGATTGTTTTAGTCTCTAATTTTCACACAAAATTAACATAAAACAACCTAATATGTCTTTGTATTATGTGAATTTTCTTTTTCAATATAAATACTTAAAATTTGAGTCAGTAAATCACAGTATATACAAGTACATATACATTTTTTTCAATGTTAACAGATATTGCCAAATTCTTCTCCAAAATTACCCTACTGTGAGGATTAAAAATATTTTCTTACAAATTGTCAATGCATTGTTGCCATATTAATATTTGTTGTCTTTAATTTTTCTAATATGATAAATAATGTAATATTATTTCTATAATTTTAAATTATTATGATTTTAATGAGAAATAGTATATATATATATATGCCTTTTGAGTTTTATATATACTGCTTGTTCAGATTCTTTGCTGGTTTTTTATCCCACTTTTATTCTCAAATGTTACCAATTATAAATGTAGAGAAAAGTTTAAGCATCTACAATGTACCTTTTAAGATGATTTTCCTCCTTTTTTATCAAGACATACGTTTTGATCTCATAATTATCAACCTTTCTTTTGACATGTGTACATGGCAAGATCCATTTTATAATAAAAGAAATGACAAAAAAATCAGGATAGTGATAAAATCAAGGAGAAACACACAGGTATGAAATGTTATAGAAATAGTAATTTCTATACTATTGGTGGATTCAGGTGTTTTTTAATGTATGTGTTTTTGTATGTATTAAATGTTAAATAGTATTTAAAAGCAAAAGTTCTCTGTCCTTTCACTCTAGTTTCCATTTCAGATCTCGGTTTTTCAAGCTCCTTTTGATTCTCACTGTTTTCTTTGTACCTTAATGGCATCACTAACATATGCCTAGGTCTTATATTATTTTTCTCCCTGTCTCTACCATGACAACAGTCTTCTCCCTGTGTTGCCTTCTGCATGAAATGGGTTTCTATTACGTGTTTTATTTGTCTCTGCTATTTCTAAAACAAACATATTTTTGTCTCACTTCCTATGATTTATTTAAGCTGTTGTTAGTTGAGAGAGAAAATCAAGAAGCAAAGGTAGTAAAGTGCAGAGAAAATATTTTGAAAAGAAATCAAGTTATTTTGTGCCCTACTGGTATTTAACAAAAATAAAAGATCAATTCTCCCACCCTTCAAAGGTTTGCATTTCTATTGATATAAAACAAGTCCTGTCTTTCTCCTTTCTGTTTCATCACATATTAATTGCTTGGGAGCTTTTTGTGTACATTCTGCTCTGCCCTGGGTCACTTAAATCAGTTTCTTTAAGGCAAAATAAATGTTCTCAAATTGTAATCTCTTGAAGGAGAAAGGGCATATCTTACAGTTTTCTTTGTTCAGTGCCTTGGACTGCATTATTGTGGAGAGGATTTTCTGTGATTTCTACTTCTTCAGAGTAAATAGTGGTTTTTAAGTCACCAGAATTTTCCCCTTCACTTCTGCTGTGATGCGCCCAAACACCAAAGCCTTTATTCATATTTTCACTGGAAAATAGAACAAACAACGTTCTTAAATCTCATAGCTTCCTTTATGAATTTAATACTAACATAGCTTGTAAGGGTGTCAGATAAAAAACTTTATGAATGTCAAATAGCTTTGTTTAATATATATGAACTACATTTTGTTGGAATTCCCATGGAGTTATTTAGCCATCAAACTGCTCTAAAACCAACACTTGTACTATTTTAAAATCCAACACTCAATATAGGAGAAATTCAAATACTCTGCTTTTTGTTAGGAGCTATATAAATGTTTTTTAACGTCTTTGGAACGAATCCATATGAAAAATAAATAAATAAAAACTCATGTTTCTTGTGTGTTCCAAATTACGACTTACTTAAATACCAAAACAATTTTTTATATTTAATGAAAACAATTTATAGTAATAAAAAGAGCCCAGTTTGATGTAGATGGAAGCCTAGGTATAACTGATTTCCATGATGAAATAATCGAAGAGAAGGATTTTAGAAAATGTATGAAGGACGTTAATAATTTCTGCTCTATTGCATGCTTTACTTTTATATTTTAAGGAAAATTTCTTTTTAACATCCATTCTCCACTTCACCCCATGGATCATAGATATGAATATGTTTTATTATATAAAACAAGTAATCTACCTAGAGTTAATTTTATCAATGTTGGAGACACAAAATAGAACAGTGGTCCTCAAAGTTTAACATACAAGCATCAGAATCATCTGAAAAACTTGGAAAGACACAGACTTCTGCTTACTGCTCCAGAGGTTCTAGCTAAATAGATCTGGCGCTGGGGTTGAGAATTTTCACCTTTAACAGATTCGCAGGTGATGCTGCTATAACAGGTCCAGAAACCACACCTAAAATCATTGATGCAGAGAAGTTTAGAGCTTGGACAATGCCTATAATATTCCCTTTACTGCTAATTTAGAATTGGGGAATGTTACCAGTACCAGTTATCTTTGTATAACACCTATCAATTTGGGACAGTAGTAGTTATGTTAGGTCATGTGCCGTTAGAGAAAGACATTTTGCAGAGAAAGGAGACATTCACCAAGCAAAACAAAAGCAAAAACAAAGAGACAATGTGCTTCAGGAAAAGAAAAAAAAGAAATTAAAAAAGCAGTTTTTGGATACTTTACTAATTTTGTGTTTTAGTCATTGATATATCTGGGTGCAGTTCTTATTTTTGGGTTCTGAAAAATACCCTTTGTGTAACTTTCTAATAAATACCAACTTTTTTATTATCAGGTATTCTGAAGGGCATAGGAACTCTAACAAAATTATTGCTGAATAAAACAGAAGAATTTTTCTGGACTAATTGCATAAACAAAGTAATTGTACACACACACACACACACAGACATAGGCTCTGTTGGTGTTTACTGCAACTCTAAAAGAAGACTAAAGGTCTTCACTGATCATCCTGCATAAAACGGCCTATGGAAGTTTATTATGGATTTATTAGTTCATGTTTTGCAGTCTGTCTTCACCTCTAGAATGAGAACAGGGAACTTCTTTTGATTTGCTGCTGTATCTCCCTCACTTGAAATAATGATTAATTAATACATAAATGCATAAAGGGTAAGACATTTTTGGTTTAAGCAGAATTCCATATCTTTTTTTGAGAAATATAATTTCTTAAAAGTTTTATGCAAGTCCTGTAAAGTAAGTCACATTTTCACTTTCTTAGGGCTCTCAGTGAAATTACTCTACGTTCTGTAGCAGATCACAACAGATCAAAATGACTAGGTCATGATTACACGAATATTGACTGCAGGGGTTATCTATATCAGCAAATACAGAAGTCAACAAGGTAGGGAAAGCTAAAATGTGGTAGAAATCTATGGCATTAGTATCATGGTCTGCATGACAGCCAATTGCAAAATCTCTAGCAAATGACAGCTTTTATTCTCATCTGATAAACCTGAGAATTCAACTTCATTCTGCAGGCCTATATGTAAGTTGGGATGGTTCTGTTTCACGCATGTTTCCTCTGACTTCCTAGGCTATAGGTGCAGAAGTCAACTGGGGCATGATTTTCTTCTGCTAACAGTCAGGAGCTCCCCAAGGGTCTCAGAGAAATACATAGCTGCCTCATAAGGCCTAGGCTCAGCCACCACTTCAATGTTGTCACTGTCACATCACATGAATCAGAAGACAGGAGGCGGGCATGAGCACGGCTATGGAGCAGAGGAGTATACGGTCCATATGCAGAGGTAAGGGGCAATGAAGTTTATTGAAAAATATCTCAATCTCCTTCAAGTACCTTTGGGGAACTAGTAAGCGGCTAAAGACACTAATAAACCCAAATATTTCATGGAGTAAACCACAGCTGGAAAAAGATTTTTCTGGAAAATAAAACCTGTATAGGACTGTATTAATCAGGTTCAACCACTCCCCACATCTCTAGCATTCTTGAACAGCTACCAACTTGAAGGAGCCAGATGTATAAAACTTACCTCTTTATCCCACTTCCTGATCTGTTTGAGCGCCTAATGATAAGAACTCCTCAAAAATCCAGCTGTCGAAGGGACATGAGAAATATAACGCACTGACCACAAGACTCCATATAGCACAGACAGGAAAGTGTGGAAACTAAGAGCAAATAAGATAAAGATCTACACAAAGAATGGTTTATCTTTTGGCTGGAGGAAGAGGAAGAGATTCTTTAGGAGCAGTTCAAGGAGAAAAGAGTGAAGTGACAAAATACACAAATGATGGGGCAGCATCTCCTGCTATACCAGCCAGTTGGACAAGGTTTGATCCCTCGTTTAAAGAAAAAAAGAGACTGAAGTTGGAAGTTGATAGAAATCAGCTAGTAAATTGCACTGAGACTCCAGGAATGAGCCATGGTGTTTCAGGGTCTACAAAATAGGGTGCATGAAATACAGACCTGCAGAGATTAATTGGACTGGTAATGAGTCTCAGGACAGATATGATTCAGTGACTAGAAAAGAATGCTAGAGGAGATAAAATTATATACTAGAGAAGATCATGCATGTGAGATACAACCAACCTTCATATTCTCTATGATAACAGTTTGGGAGTACAAGGATTTTAGAAGGAATGAATTTATTAATAAAAGTTTAAAGCCAGTGATAATTAATACTTATGTGCTGTAGTGTTGCTATAGCCTGGTAAAATGTGAGACAGTTTTTAAAATTAGAGACTTTAAGATATGCCATGAAACTAGTTCATCTCATTTAAACTTCATTTATTATAACCAACAAAAGAAAATATATTTTATGGTGGGTTACATACTCAAATACATAAACACACAACTTAAAAAAGTTTTATGAAACAACACCCTAACTAGGTGATGCACTTTGATACTTGTCTATTTTATCTATTTTATACTACTTCATTTTGCAAAAGATTGCTGGTGTAACCTATTTATTGATTTTATAACTAATCAAAGGGGTGTAACAGTCCCCTTTAAGTTTAAAAAACACTGGTGACATTGAACTGTGTCCTTTACAGTTAAGAAAACTGAGTTGATCATTAACTACCAATTTCCTAATATTCCTTATGTACGTAATTGTGTTACATTGTTTTCAGTCACAAAGTCTTTAAGAAGTGAAGCAATAGGTAAACTGTATTCAAAAGCACAAGATTTTTCATCTGTGTTCTTCAGGAATGCTTCACAATGATGACAGTTATGTATTTGAATTACACTGCTTCCAGGTTTACCTTACCTGTCCAGTGAAATTGTTAGCTCTTTGAGGATACAGCCATCTCCAAAAATTCTTTCTATTCCCACAGTAGTAATGATTCAAAGCAGATAACTCTAGGATTTATAAAGACATATGTAATTGAATAACAAAAAAAGAGTTACGAAGACTGAGTTTTTAAATTCATATGGCTTTGATAGCTGACTAGATTGTGCCACCCTTCAAAATGTAAAATGTAAATCAGAGTTTTCTCAATAATGTAAAAAATCTAACATTTCATTTCTTTGTTCAATATAAACTGTTGGCATAATTATTCAAAATATTCTGTGTCTGGAGTCAATTAGCATCAACAAAAAGCTTTTTAGATTTATAAGAACAGAATTTCAATCAGCCAGACCTTCAGACAGTATGACCAGTTCACATTTTCTCAGACTGGGAGAGTGCTGGTATACATTTACAGATTAACGATTATCTAAGATCCATGTTCTGCTAAACTGTTTGAATTCCATGAAGTAAACAAACAGGCTGATTTTATACAAAAAGAGAAGAAAACAATCTCCACAGAGACTTTCAATTCCACCCTTCCATCAAATAGAATTTTAATAGCTTTCACATAAACCCTTGAAATGCTAGGATTGTAATAGAAATGCTGATGTAGTTTTAAGCATAGAACCCCTGGACTGCGCTTGTATTACAGAGAAATTCAATGTCTTCCCTAGCAACCAGGTTTTGAAAATATTGATGGCAGTGTTCCATTCAGTGTTTAGCTAATTGACAATCTTTCTTTTGATAGAAAATGCATTTTCCACAGCTTACATTTGTCAAGCACTGAATAGTTTTTTAAATTGCTATAATCATTTTAGACCTGTGAACTTAAAACTACTACTTATGCAAATGTAAGTTTTAAAGTGCATAAATATGGTGAAATATATTTATTACTCATGAACTGTATTTTTTCATATGTTGTCAGAGTGATGTAGTACATAGAATATTGCACTCTGAGAAAAAAACATGATTGTTAGAACTGAATTCAACGATTCACTATCTGTGAGATACTGGTAAGTTACTTCATCAGTTTAGGTCTCAGAATTCTGTTAGTAAATTGGGAATGATAATGACATTCTTAAGTCATCATTGTTGAAGTCAAATGAGACATAAGTGAGAAGTGAATTTTAAACATAGAAAATTACAATGTAAAGGATATATTTTACATACATTTTTATTTTAAAATATATAAGTGTATATATAAATATTACAAGATACTGTGAAATAAAGGAAATATAAGAATCATAGAAATCACTAATTATAAACATAAATTATAAATTCTATAAATATTGCTATTTTATTTTTATCATCCTCTTTTTCTTATATATTTAAATTAATCTAACTTTCTATTAGCATAAGCACCACTATACAAGTATATATGTAAACATATGTATATATCTCTGTGTATGCATACTGTATATAAAGATATATAATTATTTTTTTAAGAAAATACTAGAGGTGGATTTATTAAACCATCTTAGTGAAAATATTTGTAATCAATTGCCCTCTATAATTTCGTATCAACTTTTCATCCCATAATTGGTGAGTAATAAGTGCTGGGCATTTATTAATTTTTTTAAAAAAATTTGATAATATGATAGTTAAAAATAATATTGATTTTTAAATATGTATACTTTTGCTTACTAAAAGAGTTTAATACTTTAAAATAATTATTAGGCACCCATTAATTTTCTTTTTTTAAATTTTTCTGTTTTGCAATTGGTCTCTTTTTATTAATTTGTAATAGTTCATTATTTGTTTAGCCTCAATTTTCTTATCTGAAACATGGGAAAATTATAATTCATCATTTTTTTGTGTGATAAAGAGATAACTTAGAGTGCAGAGAAAATTATTATTAAGATGTGAAAGTTATGATGGCTATCAATAGGAAGAGTTTGAAGCTTAATATTTAGGTTCTGTAGCCCATACTCTTTTCACAATAGAGCTCTATAAAAATAAAATTATGACATCAGTCACTATATATCATTTCACAAAATAAACCAATAAATTTTTTTTTCATTGTGTAGAAACCAATTCAACCAATAAATATTTATTAATCTAATAATCTTGCTAGAAGTTGAGGCTTTAAGTTAACCTATGTACTCTTATAATTTTAAAATATATACATATAAAATATTTTACTTTAACATTATTAAACATCAATTATTAAATATTCTATAGATGAATATGTTAACAAACTGTGATATATCTATATAAGAGAACACTACTCAGTAATAAAAGTAAATAAACTATTGGGATATGTAAAGATTTGCGTGGATCTCAAGTGCATTATGCTGAGTGAAAAAAACAAAAGCTAATTTCAAAAAATTACATATTGGAAGATTCCATTTCTACAGCATTCTAAAAGTCGTAAAAATGTAGTAATGAGGAATAGATCAATGATGGTCAGTGGTTAGGGTTTTGGGAAAATGTGACAAGAGGCTAACACGGGGAATTTTGTTTGGAATGAGGGAATATTAATGTATGCTGGTTGTGGGTTGTTCTGGTGGTTAAAGATCTTTACATGTGATAAAATTATATGGAACTATATCACACCAAGAATGACGATAAATCTAGAGAAGTGTCATTAAGATCAATAGTTAATAGTATCATATTAATGTCTTTTCTGTTTTTGTTAATTGAGTTATAATTGCTGCTTGCCACTGTGTTAGTTTCAGGTGTACAACGTTTGATATTGTTTAAATTTTGAAATGATTGTAATAAGTGTAGTTACCACGGGTCACCATACATAGCTACAGATTTTTTTCTTGTGACATGAACTTTTAAAATCTACTTTCTTAGCAACTTTCAAGTATGAAATAAAGTATTATTAACCATAGTCATCATGCTATACATTATCTCCTCATGACTTATTTTATGAATTGAAGTTTGTGAATTTTGAATCCTTTCATTCATTTCAACCCTACCCCCACCTATGACAAGCATGACTCTGTTAATCTCTGTATTTATGACCTTTTTTTGTTTTGTTTTATTGTTTAGATTCTATATATAAGTGAGATCATATGATATTTGTCTTTTTGTCTGACTTACTTCTCCTAGCATGATGAGGTCCATCCTTGTTGCAAATAACGGAACTCTGCTCTTTTTTATGGCTAAATAATATTCCCTTGTGTGTATATGCATGTGTGTATCACATGTCCTTTAGTCATCATCAATGGATGGACACTTAGGTTGTTTTTGTAGTCCATATCTTGGCTATTGTAAATAATGCTGTAATGAACATGGACATACATATATCTTCCAGTTAGTGTTTTTATTTTTACTTCATATAAACATCTAGAAGCAAAATTGTTGGATTACGTGGTGATTCTATTTTTATTTTTTTGAGGAATGTCCATACTCTCTCTTCAGTGGTTGCACCAACACGCATTCCAAACACTGGTTTATAGGCCTACCTTTTCTCCAGCTTTTGTTGGTTCTTTTGTTGGTTGGTTGCTTGGTTTTTTCAACCACCATTATAAGAAATGTCAGATAATAAATATATCATTGGGGATTTGATTCACATTTGCTTTTTAATTAGTGAAGTTGAACATCTTCTCATGTAACTCCTGGACATTTGTTTCTTATTCTGAAAACTGTCTATTCAGATGTTCTGGTCATTTTGTAATGAAATTGTTTATTTTGCTATAGAGGTATATTTGTTCTTTACATATTTCTGATATTAACTCCTTATCAGGTATGTGATATGAAAATATTTCTCCCATTCAATAAGTTGTCTTTTCATCTTCCTGATGGTTCCTTTTACTTTGCAAAAATTTTTTAGATTGTCATAGTCACACTTGTTAAGTTTTGCTTTTGTGGCCTTTGCTTTTAGTCTCAGATTTAAAAAATATCACTAAGACCCTTGTCAAGGAGCTTTTCACCTACATT